GATCTATTAGGTCCCTTCCGACCCTAAATCTATGAAACTACGAAACTATAGGATGCAGAGAAGAATGCATTGCAGCTGTCTGGGCTATTCATGATCTGTAAATAGCTATGAGGCCCATTTCCCCAGAGCTGTCATACCCACCTTTTCACATGATCATTTTTCATTTGTGTTTTGTATTGCTTTAGTGCTTCAAGGGTCCCACTGAGATGAGATCCCTATTGTGTTGGTCCCTGTTCAAACATATGGTAAAAGAGAATCCTTGTCTGGAAGAATTAACAACTTAGGATCATAAGGAAGTAGGGCTGGGAAGTTCCCCATGAGGTCTGCTAGTTTAGCCCCTACAGAAGGCAGGATCATCCCTGACTAAACCATCCCAGTCAAGTGTCTTCTCTCCTTTTAAATAAAGAGACAAAGGGTGGGAGGGAAATGACCATTATGCTAACAGGTAACTGAGGCACAGAGAGACTAAGTGGTTACAAAGGGAGTCAGTGGCAAAGTCAAGAATTAAGCTTAGATCAATTGTCCTCAAACTTTTTAGATCCAAAGCCCCCCTCATTAGACTTGAGGTGGCCTTCAGAGAATGCTGGTTATTAGTTTTCACTTGTATTGTTATACAGGTTTCCCTCGATTTATGCGGTACATGTATTCCTGGAGAATGGCACATAAATCAAATTTGCCTAAAGCAAACCCAGTTTATAATGTAACAAATTGGGATAGTCTCCCATGGTGGTAGGGGAGGGAGGGAGTGAGACTGGGACTAGGGAAGGGGTGAGGGGAGGGACTGCATCAAAGCAGTGGGAACTGTGAGTGGGTGCAGGATGGGGGGTGTAGGATGAGGGGGGCCTGGCTCTTGCTGCTATGCACCCCCTGGAAAGGTTGTGGGCTGGGGGGCTGTGCTGGGCTCTGCTGTTGTCCCGCATGCAGATCTTGGGGTCCATGCTCCCCTGGGAAGAGCCTGATGTGGCCCTACCGGGGGACACATAGCAGCAAGAGCCATGCCCCTTGGCCCGCACCCCCCCTCCTTCATCCCCCCCTTCTTGTGCTCCATACCCACTCACAGTTCCTGCTGTCTTGCTGCCTGCTGTGGTCCAAGGCCTCTGCTTCTCCCCACTCACGCCACTCCCTGTTTCAGTGGCTGTAGGAGCAGCTGATGCCTGTAGTCGCTGGGCTGCACTGTGCCCCGAACCTCCCAGGGCTCTGTTTTTCTCCATTCACCCCAGCTGCTGCAACAGACCTGGGAGCAGCCAACACCACCTGCCTGAACTACAGCATGGCACAGCCCAGGTGCTGGGGTAATTGGGACAAGCGGACCCCAATCGCATAAGAGTGAGTTTACCTTACATATAAGGAATTTTGGGGTAGAAAAAGGGTGATTACATAAGAGCAGATTTGCATATATGGAACCCGCATAAATCGAGGGAAACCTG